TCCTATGGCTTTAATTGCCACATATACTCCAACAACTTTTGAGTTCTATCTCCCATCCAGACTCCTTTGAACTCTCCCCTTGATGTCTCCATCTAGATGCCCCTCAGAGACCTCAACTCAAATGATCTAAAACTGAACTCATGATGAGCCTCTTCCCTCAAACCCTCTCCTCCAGCAGATGCTCCCACCAGCGACCTAGTTGCTCAAACCGTGTACCTTGTAGTCACCCTTGACAACTCCTTCTTCTTTGAATAGGAGAATGATTTCAATAAAACAGGATAAAGATAAAATATGGTAAATGCAAATTGCAAAATGGAGCAAAGATACAGCGGCATTTCATCAAACCGAGGAAGTCTACCAGTGTCCCTGCTATTGGTGACTCAGAGGGTGGCCTTGGACACAAAGTTTGGGGAAAGGTGTAGGTGACAATCAGTGCTTATTTCAGCTTGTCCCCAGCCTGGTCTCTTCTCTGTCTCCCTGAGACTGATATCCTTGGAGAACCCGAGGCAGGACCCAAGGCAGGTTAGAAGCTCTAACCATACAATAGCTGTCGGCAGAGCAATAAATCAGCCCATCAGATGTTTTAGAGTCTCTCTTAGCTCCCCACCATGACCATGGGCCAAATTAACATTTAGGTTGTTCTATAAGACAGTGCATATCTGTAAGATTGGTTTCTTTCTCCAGATGCAGGAAGAGATTGTTCAGCCTATCTATGTGTGCATTCCGAATTCCATCATTTTCATAGAGAAGGAGAAACACATGATCCTTTTTTCTTACATCATAGCCACTAGATTAAGAAAGAGAAATACTTTTTTACAACTTGAAAAAAACAATACTTTCTATAGAGAGGCCATTTCATGTTAAAATCTTGATTCTTAAAATAGCCGTACTGGGAATCTGACAAAAGCAGCCTGAGTCCTACATGACATCCCAGGGGACAGAAGCACCTGGGGATTTTAAAGACGCTTGCAATTCAGTTATGGTTAATACTCAGCAGAGCAGCAGAACCCTGGAGGATTCGGACAGAAACCCTTCCCTCAGAGAGTTCAAGCTGAAATCACAGACATACAGCCACATTATTATAACATCGACATAGTATGATGCATTCACCAACAGAAGTATGTACAAATTATAGCCCAGAGGAGGGTCGGGTCCTTTGATGAGGTGAGACCTTAGCTGGCTTGTTTGGAATGAATAGGAGTTCACCTCACAATCATAGTGGGGAAAGGCATTGCAGGAAAAGGAAACGGTATATTCATAGGCACATCTTTTGGTCATAGGATGATGTTGCTGTCCTATAGCAGGGCAGGGGTGGGAGGAGATAAAGGGAAAAGGTAGACAAGGACCAAATCGTGGGAGTCTTACTAAGAAGCAATGATTTTGCTTCGTAACCGGGAAGAGCCTCTGAGGTTTTGCGTAGGGGAACTGATAAATGAGGAGATAGACTCGTGCTTTTGGTTCCTTCCCCTGGACTCTCTGGCGCCCTGTCTGTAGAAAAGTATGGAATTGTTCATTCACATATAATTCTAGCGTAAGTTCACATGATAAGCTAAAATAGTGTATTTTGTAATTTTAGATGGAAGAAAATAAGGAACATTGTGTTATTAAAATTACAGTCAGAAAATTACTGTATTTTTTTACATGTTTATCTGGCTCCACTAAAACAAGCAAGAGTTTTACTCCTGAAAATTGTGCTAAATATATTACCTGTGTGCTAAGGCTACAAACCTTGGGTCACATTGGTTCCCTTCCTTAGCATAGCTGGAGTTAGGCCAAGTTTATTCAGTCAGAAAGGGCTCTTGTGTGAGTCTGTGAGATAGCAGTGAGGTCCTTGGTCCACTTTAATTTGTCTTCATTGCCCAGAACAAAGCAAAGCAATGAGAATTTTGTTTTCCCAGATGAGTTGCCAAATCCAGGACAATCAGGACCCTCTTCTGCTGTTATTTTTTCATAACCTCGGCAAGTCCCCGGATCTGTACTGGATTTTGGCAAGATGCTGCTCTCTGTGGAAAAGAACTCTGGTTCAAAATATCTGTGTGGAGTCTTGCATTACCCACAACTGGTTTCCCACCAAGAATCTACTATTCAGCATTCACTGTACTAAGTTACAAACATTTTGGTTGCTAAGGAGACGAAAGATTAAAGAAGGACAAATGGATAAAGCCATCCTCACAGACAGCATGTAGTAGCTCCAGGGAAAGTTCACTTCCTACTTGTATTTTTGCTGCTTTGGACCCATCAACACGGAAGTCGTTGTCTTTCACTGTGTAAATCTCCTCTCAAAGGAAAGCACTAGTCCTGCCTCTGAGAGGGAATTAGCAAGGTTTTAGAAATTATTCAAGACCTCAAAGGGAGATGGTGACTGCGGAATGAATTTGCTCATTAGTGATAATGGTTCTCACAGCAGGAGGATTTGGGGCTTAGTGGCCTTTGGAAGGATGTGGCAGGGCTAGGTGAAGGAAGCCCAGGCCTGCAGTGGAATCTTTGGGCCCCAGTTTTATTCCAGAAACAGCTCCTCAAAAAGCACCCAAGTGCATTCCCCACCTGCAGGAGCCATGGGCTGTGACAGCCTGTAGCCAGGCTCCAGTTGGGTCCCAGTTTGCTGAATGCACCAGCCCTTGTGCCCCTCCCCACGCTCTGATTGGCCGCCTTTCCCCCTCCTTTATAACGTCATCGCCATACCTCCCTT